GGAGATGGAGGAGGAGGAGGAGGAGGAGAAGGAGGAGGAGGAGGAGGAGGAGGAGGAGGAGAAGGAGGAGGAGGAGGAGGAGGAGGAGGGGAAGGAGGAGCAGGAGGTGAGGAGCGGAGGTGAGGATCGGGAGGCCGCCATCCTGCGAGTCCAGCTCCAGGTCCCGCCCGGCCCCGCTGACCTGGCTCAGGGAAGAGGATCCAGGTGGCGAAGGGCGGCTGGTCCACGGTGACGGTGTAGTTGGTGACCGTGCACAAGGACAGCGTCTCGTACCTGCAGTAGGTGCCGTCCTGGGCCTGGGGGAAGACACGGACGCAGCGGGGTGGCTTGGCCTGGGACCCGCAGCCTCCAGGACGGGGGACACTACCCTCCGGCCATTCGCGGTCCCTGGGCCGAGGGACTTGGCCACGGCCACCGTAGAAGACCCGTGAAGGGCTGTCATTCGCCCCGTGACCCCTCAGGCAGGGCGCTCTTGGACGTCCCCGGAGGCAGCTGAGCCTCGCTGTCTCTAAGTGACCTGTCCCCCGCCCATGGTGGCTCGGGCGTAGACCCGGGGTTCTGGGTGCCTTCCGTCCCCGTGGTGGGTGGAGACCTGTCACGTGTGGGTGCGGGCACGCGCTGACCTCTTGGATGTGGTCGGAGTCGGTGACGCAGTAAATAGTGGAAGAAGGTGCGCTGACGTCCCAGGTGAGGTGGCTCCGGGCCGCGTCCATCCTCAGGTTCCTGATGGGCGGCTCTGGACCTGCGATGTCCCCAGCTGGCGTTAGGGGACACAGGGGGTCTTTCTCCTCTCCACCCGCCGCGGGTGACCTGGCCCTGTCCTTGGAGGTAGGAGCTGTCCCTGGAGAGGTCACTACCCCTAGCTGGCAGAAGCCCCCAGCCGCGGGCGCCACAGTGATGTCATTAGGTGCCCACTGGTGGGGAGGGAGACCCTGGTCAGCCTTGTCACGCAGGGGACAGAGAATCAGGGGACTGCGCCTGGGCTCGGCGAGATGGGACTCTTGCTGTGACGTCCTCACCAGCGACTTCATCGGCCTCTTGGAGGCTGATGTCACTGTCAGCTGGGGCCAGAGCCCAGGGTTGGGCGGGGCTGGTTCCTTCTGGAGCGTCACAGTGGAACCCGGTTCAGCCACCGGGGACCCGCCCTCAGGGTTCCTCCTGTGTCCACCCCTCCCCTTTCTGCTTCTGTGGTCAGGGCACGTCGGTGCCCCAGAGTCCCTCTTAGAAGGACGCCTTCCAGCATCTTGGGAGGCTGAGGCATGAGGATCTCGAGGTGAAGGCCAGCCTCAGCCACAGCGAGGCCCTAAGCCACTCAGGGAGACCCTGTCTCTAAATAAAACGCAAAATAGGGCTGGGGACGGGGCTCAGGGGTCGCGTGTCCCTGAGGTCCATCCCCAGTAACTCCCCACCAAATGCAAGGAGCCCTCCTCCTGCCTCCCACCGCGGCCAGAGGCCCCACTGAGAGGCCAACCCACAGGCCACGCGCTGTCCCCCTCCCGCGTGCCTACCCTGGGTGGTGTCCAGCAGGCAGGAGGCGGGGGTCAGGAACATCAGGAGCCACAGGGTCCCCATGGTGCTCGCAGCTCCTGAGGGACAGGGGTGGGGTCACAAGAGAAGGGACAGTCGGCAAGCAGGGAGGTCAGGTGGGGAGGCTGGGGCTGGCAGGACTCCTTAGGAGTCTGGGTGGGGAGGCTGGGAACCTCAGGAACCCAGGTGGGGAGGCCGGGAGGAGGCCGGGCTCCTTAGGAACATGGGTGAGGAGGCTGGAAGCCTCAGGGCCCTGGATGGGGAGGCCGGGAGGAGGCTGGGCTCCTTGGGCACCTGCGGGCCCCGTGCGGGCGTCGCCTGTCTGGAAGGAGCGCGCTCTTGGCTCGGACTCCCTGCCGAGGCCGGGAAGGCGGCAGCCTCCCTCGGGGGCACCCACCCGGAAACGCGGAGGGAGGACAAAGCCGAGGAAGGAAGTGGACTTGGAGGCCGGGCAGCGCCGATGGACGGGGATTCCCGGCTGCACAGTGACCGTAACCGAGCGCGGAGGGATCTCGCTCGGAGCCAGGAGTGTCCCCCCCGCCGGGGGTCCCTGGGAGGCCTCCCCTGCAGACGCGCTCCCCGGGCCTCTCCTGTTGGCTGGCCTCTGGGACCCTGGGCGCGCCAGCTCCGGGGCCTCCAGGTGGGCCTCCACCGTTGGCCTCCACGGGTGGCCTCCCGGGTGAGCCTCCTTATCGCCCTTGGTTACACACTGGTCGCTGCAAGATCGTGGCACCCGGGGCTGCTGCTCAAGCCGAGGACTCCACGGGGGGAGCCCCAGGAGGCTGGGGCGGGAGGGGGAGGCTGGGCTCCTTGGAGGTGGACCGAAGGCTGCCTGGCTGGCCTGTGCGAGCCCTGGGGGTCCCCCGCGAGGTTGGCTGAGATTCCTCCCGTCGCTGGGTCCTCCAGGGACCGGGTGAAGGGTGGACCGTGGAGGGGACATCCCGCCCTGTGCCGTCTGCGGTCCAGGGAGGCCCGTCAGGCGAGGCTCAGTGCGCCCCCCGGTCCCCTGGCAGCCCCTGAAACCACTTTCTGTCGCCTGATTTAGAATATTTCCTCCAACTAGCCATCCTCCTGCCTCAGCCTCCCAGATGGCTGGGATCACAGGCGTGGTGGGCCACCGCCCCCCCGTGGACATCACATTTTCGTGGCCATCACGGACTAGGTGGCCTTTTCGTCCTGTGCGTGATGTTCTCCAGATTTCGTGTCTGACGAAGCAGCTTTCAGAGCCCCATGCCATTTCATGGTTGAGTAATATTCCATTTTGCGGGTGGACCTCCATCCCTTTTCATGGTTGACTGATATTCCACCGAGTGGACGGGCCACATGTGAGCCCGCCCGAATGCCTGCACCCAGGGACGCAGTTGGATGATTTCCACCTTTGGCTACCGGGAAGGCGGAAGCCACCGCCCATGAGCTGTGTCCCACCTGCCTTTGACAATCTGGCAGACACCGTGAAAGGCCACTCCCAGCCCCCAAACAGGTCCTGGCCGTCCCCCGACCCAGGCTGGACCTGCGCCACGTCCCCGAAATACTAGAGGAGAAGCACGGGCCGGTCCATCTTGCCCAGGACGCTGGGTCCAAAAGGTGGGAAATGTTACAATGACCTCTGGCCTGTCACCCTGCCAAACCCAAAGGTCTATCGCTGGGCACCGAGTCGGCTTCTCCGAGCTGAGACTCTGAGCTGCCCTGTCGGGGATCCCTGGTGGCCAGGACGCCCCCGGTCTCAGCTCACCCAGGGCACGTCCAAAGGTCCTGTGGCCTGCCGTGGGTCTGCCCTGTGGGAAGGAGCGCATCCCCAGCCCTCTGTCCCTTCTCCCTCGGGGTCAGCGCATCTTACCAGCCGGTGACAGCACAGCCCGGCTCCTCCTCGGCTCCCACTCGGGTGTCCCCAGCCCCAAGTCTGTCGCTGTCTTTGATTTTCGTTTACTGGAAAAAGTCTCCACAAAGAGAAACCGAACGTGCTGGTTCCTCTGGGGCGTCCTGCAGGCTGCGGGCGGCGCCTCCCGGAGGCCCCGGTCAGGTCCGCCTGGGGGTCAGCGGCGCGCTGTCCCGAGGCCCGTCGCTCCCTCCTTGCAGAGTGTCATTGTCCCCTTGGGTCCCCGCGCCGCGTTCCTCTTTGTGGCATTGATCATTACTGCTCAGCACTCGCCGCCGGGGTTGAGTAACTTCCTGCCGTCGTAAAAAAGCCACCTGATAAGCACCCAGGGCCCGGCCTCCGCGGCCTCCGCCTCTGCCATCCCGGGAGGAGCCCCGCGTGGCCATGAGGCAGCGGCCGGGTTTCAAGGCCAGGTCCTGGCGGGGCACTGACTGCTGACCCGGGCTTGGCTTCACTGTGTTGCAACGGGCGTGTCCCTGAGCTCAGCAAAGACGTCCCAGATAACCTCCCCAGCCTCCTCCCTGGCCTCGATCCCGGGCCTCCTCCCCGACCCTGAAGCCTCCCTCAGGAGCCCGCAGGGGGGACAGTGTCCACGCCAACCTGGACCGAGTGGGGAATGGGGGGAGGGTCAGGAGCAGTTAACCTGAGACCCTCGTGGATTATCAAGGGGCAGTGTCCTCTCGGGAGGCAGAAGAGGACACACAGACCCAGAGGAGGAGACCCGTGGAGATTGGAGTGAGGGCCACCAGCCCAGGGCCACCTGGAGCCCAGGAGCTAGAAAGGCAGGAGGAGCCCCCTGGAGCCCGTGGAGGGAGCTCACCGGGGGACCCTGGTCCAGCTTCTGCCCTCCAGGGCCAGGGGCACTGGACTCCTGTGGTTTGGGTCTTAGGACATGTGGCTATTTTTTTCCGGGATCCCCTGGAATCTTATTTGACAGCCACCTGTCCTGGTCACCTATCCTGCAGGTGGGCAGCCCCTGCTGGACATGCAAGCTGTCCCTTCCCCAGGGGACGGGCAGGCTGTCCCTCCTCCAGGGCGATGCGTGTCCTTTTAAGAATCCAGCCGTTCTGCAACGCACACAGTAGGTCTGAAAGGCCAGGGTGCTGTGGCCAGGTCACTCTAGGCCTGGGACTCTCGGTGCACAAACCATGGTCCAGCAGACGGGGAGAAATGGCTTGTGCTGAGGGGACACCTTAGCCGTGGGCCGGTGGACGGCCACCCGCTGCATGACTGGCCACCTGGGGGCATTTACAATCTGGTCCTGGGCAGAGACGGGCACGGATGGACGGGGCGGGGCACTGGGGATGTGGGCGGGGCCAGGTATGCACAGGGCGGGGCACTGGGGGATGTGGGCGGGGCCAGGGGTGCACAGGGCGGGGCACTGGGGGATGTGGGCGGGGCCAGGGGTGCACAGGGCGGGGCACTGGGGAGATGTGGGCGGGGCCAGGGATGCACAGGGCGGGGCACTGGGAGATGTGGGCGGGGCCAGGCCTGGGCACAGGGAGGGGCCATCAGGAGGGGGAGGCTGAGCTGTCCCTGGGGACACACTTGGGCTGCCAGATGCTCTGATAGGAGATTGGCCAGACCTTAAGGGGTCACCCGGCTCTCGGGGACCGGCACAGGGATCTCCCCAGCAGGGAACTGGAGGAAGGGGCTTGTGCTCTTCTGTCCCTCTGTCCTGCCCCTTGGTCCTGTCCGTCTCTCTGTCCCTCCTCCCACCCCTTGTTTCCGCAGAGGGATGGAGTCCAGGGGTGCTTCCCCACGGAGCCCAGCCCCGGCCCTTTCCCGTTTTATTTAGAGACAGGGTTTCCCTAAGTTGCTTAGATCCTTGCTGAGGCTGGCCTCCAACTTGCCGTCCTCCTGCCTCAGCCTCCCGTGCCACTGGGATCCCAGGCACGGCCAGATTTTCTTATTTGGTAATCAGTGCCAAGGAACCGGACCCCACGAGCACCCAGGGCTGCCTGCCAAGACGCCCAGCGACCCCAGCACGGCCAGGAGAGGTCCAGTTGGGAAATCCCCCTGCCCACCTGGAGCTCTGGAGGACTTTTAAAGTGTGCTGTGGCGGCTGGTGTGGGACAGGACGGAGGGTCGAGGCCCCCGGTGCTGGGGGAGGAGGGGCGGAGGCCTTAGCAGGTCAGGGCTGTGCACGTGCCAGGGACAGGGGTGGGGAGCCCACGAGGAACAGAAAGGAGGAACCGGGAAGAGGCTCTGGGCCAGTGGAGGCCACGGGGTGCAGCTGGGCCGTGGGGACCCAAAATAGGGCCATTTCGACACAGCCAGGTGCACCTGTGCAGGCCGGCGGTTGGGCCGGGCAGGGACAGCCGGTGGTTCCCCTGGAAACCAGCTCCAGGGACAGCCAGCGACGCCCGATGTCACAGGGCCTCAGGGTCAGGGCAGGAGGGACTGCAGGCAGGAGGCTCCCAGACAGGGGACCCTCGGGCGTCCCTCTAACCCAGCGGCTGCAGCCCCGAGCCACTTCCCGGGGCCTCGTGTGGAGTATCCAGAGACGGTTCCCGCTGAGGGGCTGAGGCTGGCCTCCAACTGGCCATCCTCCTGCCTCAGCCTCCAGAGCGGCCGGGGTCCCAGGCGTGAGTCTGTGCCCCCGGCTCAGTCTGTCAGGGTTATCATAGACGATCGCAGTGTCACAGTGACGGGCTCTGTGACATTTATCGAGCACTTATATGATGATATCTGTTCATACGCAGTAATGCAGCGCGTATTATTTATATATGACGTAATAGTGCCCCTATATGTGACGACGTCATCGATATGATCACGCACATTGTGTCATCTATGATGCAAATAATATATGACATTACAAGATATAATATATGATATATTGTATGAAATATAATGCATAATAATTTAATATATAATAAATAAAATAGTATATAATATATGATATGTAATAATAGATAATATTACAAGATATAATATATAATATCATAATACATAATAGATAATAATACAATATATAATATATAGTATTATAATGTAGAATATGTAATATTACAAGATATAATATAATGTGTAATATATAACATACATGATATGTAATATGATTATATATAATATAGCATATGATAATATAATATATAACATATGATTATATATAATATATGATAATATATAATATTATATCATATATAATAAACAATATATAATCATATATGACAAAATAATATATGATATATAATTATATATAATCTAGAATATAATATATAATATTATATAATATATAAAAACATATAACTGCATCACATGATATATCATTATATTTGATATATTATTTGATCTCCTTTTATGTAGATATATAAAAAGGAGATCAAATAATATATATGAATATTACAGATATTCATATATAATGATATAAATATTGTCTTTTTTGTGACTATATATTATACACATGAGATTCTTTGAAAGGTCATTTAATAAGCCACATTATCACGCGTTGCTGCATTCGACATGCTGTTATTTGATGCTCCTCTCTGTACGGTCACACGTATTTATATGCAATGAGGTCGGTGTCAGTGTCTTAGGTGACCCTATATCGTGACCTGAGACCATATAAGAGGACGTTGAGTAAATCACATTGTTGTCTACCGTTCTATTGGCTCTATGGTGATTGGATGCTATTTTATATATTTATTATCATACATATTATATATTCTATGTATATATTATATTATTCTGTATATTCTATGCTGTGTATATATTTCATATTTATATTATATCTGACATATTTTGGATGCCGTCTTACCTACAAAAGAAAAAAAAAAAAAACCTTTTCCTCCTCAAAGTCGTTTTCCTCAGGTATTTTGTCACAGTAAAGAAAAGGTGACCCACACACCCGGGGAAGCTGATGGAGGTCCCTGGAGCCCACTGACCCGGCCAAGGGGCGACGCTCTGCCACGGCGCCCTGAGGACACGGCACAGGGGCCGAGAGCCACTCACCCAGAGTCACACTGGTCCGGGACAGCTTGCTTCTGCCCAGCTACGTGGCCTTGCAGTCCCAGGGCCATGTCCGGGGCGGTCTCCCAAGCTCCGGTTGGGGACAGGTGGGCGTCTGGAATCTGCTTTCCCCCCCGCGGAGAGGGAAGGAGCCACAACTTCCAGATCAGAGCCCTGTCACTGTGCAGTGAAGGGGCTGAGGGGTGGTTAATTAAAGGATTCCACGGGGCTCCTCCTCCGGGTCTGTGTCCCCTCCTCTGTCTCTGGGGAGGACACGGCCATGGCACCAGGGCCACCCGACGCAGGAGGAGCCCATCTCAGGGCCCTGCACTAGAGGCCGTCCTTGTCCCCTGGCTTAGGCGGGCTGGCCTCTGGGACCTCACAGTTTCCTGTGGGATTCCCCCTCATGAGGGGCTTCCCTAGAGAACTTTCCCAGTGAAAGCGCGTCCGGCCACAGGCCTGGCAGCAGGACTCACCCTCGCGATCTGGGGGGACACATTCCTCCACATGTCCCCATGGCCATGATGACGGACCCTGGGACCTCCCCACTTAAGCCCCAGGACCCTGGTGCTGCCTGCGAATGGGCAGGTCCCATTCGTCCATCTTCCTGGGTCTTGGCCGACACCCAGGAGCCCCCTGGACAGTCCCCGGGCTGGTGTCCAGGGAGCCAGGGTGACACACAGTGCACGGTGTCCTCGTGAGCACCCTCTCCGCCATTTCTGCACCCCGGGGGGCGAGAGAGACTTCGGAGAGCTGCACGGGGAGGAGAGCATCACCCCGAATCCACCCCGTGTCCCAGGTCGAAGCATCTGTCCCCAGGACACATGGCCGCTCCAGGACCTGGGGATGGGACCCCATTGAGACAAGGCATCTCTGCAGAGGTGCTCAGTGCAGGGTCCTGAGATGGGCTCCTCCTGGTCAGGGGGCCCTCATGCCATGGCCGTGTCCTCCCAAGAGACACAGGAGGGGACACAGACCCAGAGGAGGAGCCCCGTGGAGACGGAGGCAGGGACTGCAGGGACAGGTGACCCTGGAGCTGGCTCCTCCCTGAGCGGGGGGCTCCCGTCTTCCAGAAGGACTTCTGTCCGGGCTCCGCGGTCCCCTGCCCCAACCTCAGTGCTGTGTCACCCCCCGACCCCTTATCAGCAGGGACGGCTGGAGGCCGTGGCTCCTCGGGGTTGCGACAGGACCTCTGGGGTCTCGGGCTCCCGGTGTCCGGCTGGCCGCGGGGACAGCCAGATAGCCGGGGTTTCTTCACACGCAGGAAGTCTTTTGAAAGTCCCTTATCTCGAAGCCGCGAGGTTTTGCAATGAAAATCTTTAATTCGCCATTTAGGATAC